ATACAGTAAATTCAAATTTTACAATAAATTTTACAAATGACTCAAATAAATAAATTATTATAGTACTTTCTTCGACCCCAAACTGAATTTATGTGTAATTTTCGAAACTATATTGTTATCATTACTAACATGAATAGTATTTCTATCAAAATTTGAACTGACTCGGGTTAAATCAAGGAAAAAAAACATCTGGTTAGCTTATAGCTTGGTTTTACCTCAAAGTGTAATTTTCGAATGACCGTTTTTAAATATTTAACACACTTTAAATAAACAAATTAAAAGTATTCCAATAGTTAATATTGCTACTGGCTATAGGTAGACGTACAGGCGGCATGCTAAGGATCATATGTAAATGTTCATTGTACGTTTCTATTTTAACCCACCCACGTGTCACTACACGTAGCTCGATATTACTTAATGACACCTAAGAAACGAGAATAAGTTTGGCAACGACAAAACTACATAATTAATATATTAAATTAGTGTTGAGTAGCTCGGTGGCGTAGTGGACAAGCGCCGAGGCCCGCGATCGTAGTCGTTAGGCAACTTTCGCAAGGGTCGGTCACGGGATGGGTGACCAAAAAATTATTATCTCGAGCTACTCCGTGCTTCGGAAGGCACGTTAAGCCGTTGGTCCCGGCTGCATTTTGCAGTCGTTAATACCCTCCAATCCGCATTGGGCTAGCGTGGAGGGTCATGGCCCATCCTCCTTAACCATTCATAAGGAAGGCCTGAGCCCTTGCAGTGGGGACGTTATAGGGCTGTGTGTGATATGTGTTGAATCTTTGCGTTATGGATAAGTAAACTGTTATCTACACTAATATTATAAAGAAGAGCGATTTAATGTATTGTTTGTTAGCATTGTAACGACGAGCTGTGAAACGACTGAATTGATAAAAAATCTTAAGATAAGCTATATAAGTGTCATTAAGTAATAAGCGTGTGTATTTATTGATCAATATAGTATTTTGAAATAGTTGTCCCCGTGTACTCTAAAGGCTTGAAAAACTAAATAAATCTAATAGTTTTCACTGCGGGAGGCTTCCCGTTCAATTGGCACGGTCGATAATATTTACCCGCCACGTCGGTTGTCTCGACAATGCAAGATAAATTATCATTTTCTCATTCATGTACGTTAAAGTTGTATTTTTCTTTGAATTTTAAATGAAAAATATAAATAAAGAACTGTGCAATATCAAAATAATTGAAACTCTGTACCTAATAATAAATCTAATTCTTGATTCGAGTATGTAATAGATTAAAGAAATATATGCGTTTGCGCGGTAGAACGATTTCTACGGGTTCATTTCAAACAAATAACTGATGTGAATGGGCCATAGAAATTTCCCGAATTATTAAACTTCGAAAAAAATATTTAATTACGACAAGATTAACACATGGTGTTTGAATTGAGAATTTAAAGTTAAGTATGTCTCAAGCCGTATTTGTTTTTGTTTCTGTTTTTTTTTTTTAATTATCAGTTGATAGCAGTTTGATAAAACTAGGACTCTTTGCCGTGTAAAACGTAAAAAACTTAATAAGAATAATCAGTTGAGATTTTGTACTATTCTCAATTCAGAAACCGATCGTATGCACGATAACAGTAATTAAGAATAATGGAGGTATTAGTAATTAAAATAATAATTAACAATTATTTTAATGGAGTAGCAGTTTAAAGGATATTTTTTTATTTAGGTTTTTGAATCCGAATTTGAATTATAAATATTGTTTTCGACTTCGTAGCCAAATGATATCAAGTAAGCCGATTTGTCAATCACGGAAACTCAAGATAGAACAACTTGACACCACGCCGCACAGTGAGGACAGCTGATCTCCAATAAAGTAGATGAAAGAACAAAAAGAAGACTGAAAGCCATAGGGAAATACAGAAAAGTGTATGTGAAACTACAATGCCTGATTCGACATGTACGGAACACATTCAAGCTGTTGTCAAAACGAAATTAAAACATGGTTGATATTTTATATTTACTTATAGGTAATATTGAGTTAGAACAGAGGAATCACTAACCTTTGTGTGTTTCAGCTTATACCAGTTATTAAAATAACTCAAAAATGAGCTAGTTGTCCATTTATCAGGTAGCTAATTCATTTAACAATCGTGATTGTCCATTGTCGCGTGTACTTGGCCATAAGGCTCTATCTCAGTCGTGGGAATAGTTCGCACGCTTAAAATATAATTGTTCTTTTTATGAACCACTCATAATAAACATAATGGGTGGATTGTTCAATTGAAATTCGATTCTAAAATGGGGTCAGTATGTTTGAGTTTTTGTTAAATCTTAATTGGTTATTGTTTTTATTGGATTTTGTTTTTCGGTTTTAACTCGGAAAATCGTGGATGATAAAATATATCATTGTTATATTCAATCTATATCTTTCTGGAAGCGTAAGGAAAGTAGAATATTTTAAAGCTTGTTTATTTATTCGAATGGAAGAGATTGATTAATTTTTATGTGTTAATATGTTGTCATTTATGTGAGAAACAACATGGCGACTAGTTAGCATTGGAAGCAGAGGTTGACTAGATGAATGCGGTTGTGCTTTATTGGTGGTTAATATTGATTGTACAATTGTAATTACTAAAGTAATGCTATGCGATCAGAATGTGTCCTCAGATCTTGTTAATTCATTGTCCGGCTGACAAATAATTTAAGAAAAATACTAATTTTTACTAATTTAATATAAATTAAGTGTTATGTTATTAACGAACAATTAATTTGGTAAATTTTATATCCGGAAATAATAATATTTATGATGTTATCCAAAAATATCACTTATCTCCTTAAAAAAAAGGTTATGAGCAATAATCGTGTACATTCTTTGGAAATAAAATCTTATATCCCAATGTTTGTCTTCGATGAACTACAAAGGGTATTTGATGAAATTTAGCATATAAGTATATAGATCGGTTTAACTCAAGAGTATTATAGAAATGCATTAATTAAGATCTTGATTAATGATCGCAACATTTTTTTATTACAAACTTGTAAATGAACAGCAAATGCGTTGTAGGGCTGTTATTAATATTATAATTACACAAGTTTTATTAATAAAAATTGATCCATAAATAAAATGCTAGATAAAAATATAGTAGTTCCATATGAATTTATATTATACCTAGATGAATTAACAAAATAACTGTGGTAGTACCAGAAATCACGACACATATAGCGCATAATTGCACGTTTTACACTAAGTTTTTAAAAAAATACGTATACTTGTAGGTATTGATAATGTTACGATATAACATACTAAAGTCCGTAGTTTTAGTTTTATAAGTGGGTATTAAATGTCATAAAAATAATAAGAATATTTTAAGAGCATAGTTTATGAATGATTAAAAACCATTATCTCCAGAACTTAAGAACATTAAGGTGCGGATTATATATAAAAGTTATTATTATACCGTTAGGTAAGGTTGAACCACAACTTAGGATCTTTTAAGTTAAATAAATAGAACAATACGATTACCTTTTTAGTCAAATTGTGTTTTCTTTCAATAGTTTGCTGATAATGGGAAAGAGTTTTTGTTAAAAAGATTATAATGTCATTTTAGAATAAAATAACATTTAGAATTTTTAATTTTAAGTAGTCGTTTGAAAACGTTATACAATAGTACAACTGCTATGCCATTTGTTCTCTTAAAAAAAGTCAAAAATTCGTCGTCGATCGAAATTCAATGAATTCTCCAATCTTGAATGAAATAAAACGTTTATTACTTTTTGATGCAGGTTTATTTGATAAAACCTCATTGGTGTAACAGTGCTTTGTTCGGCGAGTCCAGGGGTGGTTTTATAACAGAAAAAGATACAGAACCGAACATACAGAACCTATTTGAAAATATTTGCCATTGAAAATTTATCAATCTGAAGTACAACCAGAGGACATATTGTTCTGTAAATTAAAAGTCTATGTCGGTCTGTCTATTTTGTGTATTATTTTATAGTTTTTATAATATTTTAATAGTTTTAAATAGTGAAGTCATAACATCGAAAACTAGCTGTTTTCCTGCAAGCTCGCCCGCGTAAATTATATATAACCTATGTTACCTGTATATGTTGTAATCCCGTAGATGAAAGATTTTTAAAATCGGTTCAGTAGTTTTAGAAGTAATCAAATATTTTCTCTTTATAGTAATAGTGGTCATGTTTAATAATCACGGACATGGCTTGGAATGACACATCATATGGTTGCATTTTAAAAGTATTAATTGATTTTATTAGAGATTATTATTCTTTTATTTTATTTTTATTAATAGTATTAAGGTCCCGGGTTCAATTCCTGGCTGAGTCAGTATGGAATTATTTGTGCTACCAACATGGTTACAGATTTTCATAACATAAGAGCACTTGGAACTTGGAATGGAACTTGGAACCTAAACAAGGAATTGTGTTGTTGTCAGTTATTTATATATTTTACTTATTTATAGAGAATAATTAATCATAAGTAAAACAATAATTACATATTATCATAGTTACCTACAATTCACATTTTAACTGCCTGCTGATAGTAATATATATTAATTACCTAAGCAATTTTTTAACATTTTTAGAATTGGTTTATTAATTTTTTTACCCATTTATGATTCAAAATGGTTTTTAATTTGATCATAAGTAAAGTTATTAATATATAGATTAAATAATGCGCAAAGAATTCAAATTTAGTGTTGTCACTAAATATAATTACCGCTCGATGACTTATTTGTTTGTTTTTACCGTTACGTTAAGATTGCGAAATTTAAAAAAATTAAAGTACTATATTACAAATTTATTTATTGAATTATAATTGAAAATTGTTACGTTCAAATGAAGTAGGTATTTTAAAATAATAACGAGACGCGCACGTTGATGTCTTTTGTACGAACCAATTATAAATCAACCGCGCGAAGATAGAAGGTATCCCAAAAATTTTTAAGAAATTCTCAAAGCGCACACTCGATTTACACTTATATTTTTTACATAAATAACGTAACCACTCACCTTGAATCTTTGGTGTGAAAATCAGGGAGAGTCCCGAGAAAAATCCCACATACACTTCACAAAGTACTTGGTAATATTTTTTGTCAGTCAATAATTTTCACTAGGTCAGCACAAATGCGCTAACTTTGCTAACTATACGGAATGTCACAATCGAGTCACTTTCGTTACAAACAGTCAATTTGCAGTAAATGTCTAACTGAAAAAGTAAACTGAAAGACACTTAAAACACTACTACACAAAATGTCCAACTTATTTACAAAAAAAAAAAAATAAAGAAAAAAATATTATTTAGGTATAGTTCAAGATTTACGATTTCGCACTTTAGGCATTATTAGCGATAGTGAATTCGCGCCGATTCCATTTCCAAATAATCGATTCTCGGACGCGTACCGCGTGCTGCTGAGTCGGCGCGGGCGCACGAATGCGCTCGGAGGAGGATTCCGCGCTTCCACGGCTAGTGGGCGGGGCTTATTCTAACGCAACATCTAAGACTATTGCTATCTCTCTCTCGCTTTGACATAACCGCGTACACCCGTTTCGTTCTCTAACGGAGCGGTGCGATACCGTGGTGGGACATATGAACTTTGCCACTGCGCCTGCGATTAATAAAACGATACGACGTTATAGATCGTCAGATTATCTTAACTTTTTAAGTTTGGTGCGTTTTACGCATAATTTTTTAAACGTCGCTCGCGAAGCCTCTCGATATTGATTTCAACATGTAAAGTGTTAGATTACTGTGATAATGTTGCAATTTTTTATTTCACATTTTGTTATTAATACATTCTATTGATATTTATCAGGACCATAATGTTGTTTTATTTAAAACTAAGGTTTTGAATTTCGAAGGAGTGTCTATTGAACATTTCTTGAGTTTCATTATTTACGAATGCAAGAAAAATAAAATATCAAATAAGGTATTGTGATAGTAATCTAGCCGAAAACTAGATACATAGATTCCTTTTTTTTGCTTCACCAAGAAAAAAATCAGGATCTAGTAGTAAATCACTGCTTTGATAGCATGGGCGTTGCACTGATGCAAATAGTCGAATTTTCAGTGGATACTGAAAGAGAAAAAAGCATCGATTTTCCGTTTTAACCAAAGTCTTCATGAATATTAAAAACAATTTTTTTCTATAATAGTGGCGTGTACACTAAAAATTACTAATTTTCTAATTAGTTTTGTGTCAAGAGATAACGTGCAAATCGTTTGTAATTATGCATGAGAAAAATTATAAAAAAATATGAAAGAGTTTTGTGTAAACGAGACTTTATACAACTATTTCGATAAAAAAAAGGTTAGTACTAAAACACACCCTTATTTCGATATCTTTTATACTCTTTATTATAGGTAACATTGATAAATATGTCGTCACTATATATTTAAGGGTTAGATATATACATTAAATAGACAATAATCATAAAATAATGCGATTAGCTATTGAAAAATCCATACTTATATTATAAATCTATATAGTCTGTTACGTGTACACTTTTAAAATGGCCTTTAAATATTGTAAATGGGATTGAAATAAGAAGAACACGAAGGGTGATAATAATCGAATCGCAGGCGGACGAAATTGAGGGTGGAAATCTAGTAGTTTTATTTCATTTCATTTGGAAATATGGGCAGTCTTATCGTTTATACTGTTTTATAAATCTATTAAATAGGAAACGTATCTATTGCTATCACATTTTATATGAATTATAGTTCCAAATTCTGTTCTAAGTACCATTATTTAATAAAAACAAAAAACTTTTGTCTTATCAGGTAGTAGGCGAGATTTAAAACAATATTTGACAATATTAGGTGAAATTCAAATAGAAAGAATTGTTTGGAGGGATTTTAAAATTAAATTTATATATTTTTCAATAATATCTTAGATAGATACTGTGTTTCAGTTAAGATAAAAACAAGCATTAACTCTTCTCAAATAATAACAGAGCAAACTTTCTAGGCTCATTCATTACAACAAAGCCTTTAAACAGTAAAACCATTAAAACGAAATTGCAAATTGCTGATTCCATACCTTTTTTAAAGTAATTTCGCCGACAAAAGTAAAAAGTTCGCAAATCATAATAAGGGTAAATGATTTCTTAGAAAAGAAATTTTGCGCAAATAGTTTGCCAACGATTGTTTTATTGATGTTCGCGTTCGAACGGGACCTTGTTTTTTATATTTTATTGTTGCATCCCGTTCTGTACCGTTAGTGACGTCACGGGTCCGTTTTGTTCCCAAGTGGTCGGTGAACGGGAAAGATACGATGGTTAAAAAAAAGGTTTAATAGGTGTTTTGTTATTCCAAAGGAATAGCTTAATTATTAGTGATTACGTTTTTTATTCTAATACATTTTACCAGAATCTAGTATTTTGAGAAAATAAAAACGTGATTTTTTTTTTAAAATAGCAACGTATAATTATTTTACCACCAAAACATTTATAAATTATATAATTTGTTTTTTATTATGTTATATTGAGTGAAGATTTTTTCTATTAATAACAATTGCGTTTGGTATGTGTGAGCCCAGTACTGCCTAGCCTTTGAGAGATTAATATTTTTTTGCTGACATGTACTTGCGATAAGCATACATCATTATAATGCTGTCAATATTCACAAGTAAATCTGAAAGGTCTGTTTTTTTTAATTCGTTAAAATATGAATTAGCTTTGTTTGAACTATTTTACATTTAAGTATCAATATCTTCATGCAAATTAAGGTTACAAGTTGAAAACAAAAATCTGTTTCAGATATACGAAAAAAAAACAAACAAATACCACAAATAACAAAGTACATTGAACTCGAAACACGATATATGAATCGAGACAGTGAGAAGAAAAAAAAAATAAGTCACCGCAACGCTTATAAGTAGTTCTTAATAGAGGCGACATTCTTACATCCTCCGAATAAATCTATCCGAGCCATAAATCCACTTTTTAGATTAGATCTCGTACATCTCAATTTTACAATAAATTTATCGGGCCGACTGTACCGGGGCGCTTGTATTTATTACCGCGACTGTACCTAATACGTCGTTATCCGAGATAATAGCCGAATGTATTGAGTAACGGGGCTTTTTGATATTTATTGGTAAAGATTTCGAGTATGTCGATGCAGGTGAAGTAATTAAAGGTTCTGTAGATAAATATTATACAAAGATATAATTACTCGTACAAACAAAATATTTAAAACTTATTCAGCAAAACAAATTATTCAGCTTAGTGAAATCACTCGTGGAATTGTGGTACCACTTATGAAGGACGTCATTTGGTACCTATCACCAATGCAGTTCTTTGTACGAATTTACATTTTTTTAATTACTAATGTGACTAGTCTTTCAACTTAAATAACTTATCACAGCCTAAATTGACCTTGTTGCAGAATACACAGCTAACGGGAATATAGACGCTGGCAGTGAGTTCCACTCCTTGGCAGTGCGGAGAATATAAGATGTGCTTTGTTTTGATATATTTACCAATTGAGGATGGATACACCCATTTATTATTTTCATTCACCAAATGTTCGTATGGTAAGCACATATAATAGGTTTGTGAACCAACAGCATATATACCTATTGACAGGCTGTTGCTGGTTAAGTGTATTAATGCTTTAAGTTTTGATAGATGTATTATCTCGTAAAAGGTTATATAATAACCATTAATACAAGGATGACAAGCAATTGACAAATGGTATGTTTTCTATCAGTTCCCAGTGAGAAACGCGTGCAAATCGTAATATTATCTAAATAAATGACGCTGATTCCGATGGATCTCTAAATATACTTACACCAGGGAACTTCTCACGTAAAATTAACACGTCTTTACGATATCACCCAAAAGGTATACTAATGTGTCACTGAAAGATATATTTAAGTAAGAATAATTAACACTCATACGAGGGTCAAACTGAAAGTTCTTAGAACTGGCCACTTATAAACAATATAATAAAAAAATAATTCTAAAATTTGAAAATATAACTCTTTGCCAATATTACTGAGTATATATTTCATTCATTTGTCATTTGTTTTACGATTTGGCGGCAAATTGAAAATTGTCTGTGTCACGTCATCATGAATTTAACACGAGAAAATTTTCGTGCAATGATTTTTTATGACTTTCGATGTCATTTAAGTCAACAAGAAAGTTATGATAGACTACGATTGGCCTTTCACGATGAAGCCCCATCTCGTGCGACTGTTTACAACTGGTTTAATGAGTTTAAACGTGGTCGCACTAATCTCACTGATGATTTACGTGAGGGACGGCCTTCTACGGCGACGACTGAAGATAACATCTGTGTTGTGCGGCGTATGATAGAGACTGACAAAAGAGTGACCTATCAACAGATTCGGACAAGCTTAGGCATCGGTATGAGTCAAGTGCACAAAATCCTCCACGAACATTTAGCGGTCAGGAAGCTTTGCGCCCGGTGGATACCTCATAATTTGACTGAGGCTCAAAAACTCCATCGTGTGGATTGGTGTCGTAAAATGATTGAAAGATTTAACGGAGGTGACTCAAATGCTGTGTTCGACATACTAACAGGTGACGAAAGCTGGATTTACTGTTATGATCCTAAAACCAAAAGACAATCTGCTCAGTGGGTGTTTCCTTTCGAGGAGTTGCCAACTAAAGTGAAGAGAGATCGAAGTGCGGGAAAAAAAATGGTGGCCTCGTTCTTTGGAAGGATAGGTCATTTTGCAACAATTGTGTTAGAGGATCAAAAAACAGTTTCTGCAGAATGGTACACTACCAATTGTTTGCCACTTGTCTTGGAAAAAGTTCGAGAGAAACGACCTCGCAGTAGGATCCTCCTTCACCACGACAACGCCTCGTCGCACACCGCCAAGCGAACGATCGACTATTTGGCGACATCAAACGTTGAATTACTGGGTCACCCGCCGTATAGCCCCGACCTCGCGCCTTGTGATTTTTATTTATTTCCAAAAATTAAAGAAAAACTTAAAGGAAAGCGGTTTATGAATGCTGAAGAAGCGGTGGCTGCGTATCGCGATGCCATTGAAGAGACCCCTAAGGACGAGTGGGCAAAGTGC